CTCTGCTGTGACCCTCAACCGTGGCTTTTACCTCCACCCTGCCACAGTCTTCACCGCTGCAGCCACCTCCACTACTGCCTCCCCCACAGAAGGGACCTCAGTGCCCACCACGGGACAATTATCCACTGGAGACCCCCCCAGCACTGTCTTCTCCACAGGGGTGACCTCCACAGAAGCCACTGCCACCTCGGCAGACTTCCCTACCGCCATCACGACCACTGGAGTCACCTCCACTGCTCCCACCTCCCCAGAGGTGACCTCCAGAGCTTCCACGCCTTCTCAACCACTGGAGTCACCCCCAGCACTGCTCCCACCTCCACAGAGGTGACCTCAATGGCATCACCCACCACCTCACCAGAGTCCTCCACTGCCGTCTCCACCACCGGAGCCTCAACCACTGCCACACCTGCAGAGGTGACCACCACTTTGGTCCCCACCACATCCAGAGACTCCTCCACTGCCCTCAGCACCACTACAGTGCCCTCCACTGCTCTCAGCTCCACGGAGGTGACCTCCACAACATCTCCCACCACCTCAGGAGACTTATCCACTTCCTTCTCCACCCGTGGAGCCTCCTCCACTTCTATCAGCTCCACACAGGTGACCTCAGTGGCATCACCCACCACTTCACCAGAGTCCTCCACCGACATCTCCACCACTGGAGCCTCCACCACTGCCACATCCACGGAGGTGACCACTACTTTGGTCCCCACCATGTCCACAGTCTCCACTGCCCTCAGCACAACAGAGTTGACCTCCACAGAACCTCCCACCACCTCAGGAGATTTATCTACTTCCTTCCCGACTACTGGAGCCTCCTCCACAGCTCCCACCTCCCCAGAGGTGACCACAATATCTCCCACTACCTCAGGAGACCTATCCACTTCCTTCCCAACCAGTGGAGGATCCTCCACTGCTCCCACCTCCACGGAGGCGACCTCAATGGCATCGACCACCACCTCACCAGAGTCCTCCACTGCTCTCTCCACCGCTGGTGCCTCTTCCACTTCCATTTTCACAGAGGTGACCACCACTTTGGTCCCCGCAATGTCCACAGACTCCTCCACTGCTCTCAGCACCACTACAGCCCCTTCCACTGCTCTCAGCTCCACTGAGGTGACCTCCATGGCTTCCGCGACCACCATGGGAGAGATATCCACTTCCTTCTCCACCACTGAAGCCACCCCCAGTACTGCCACATCCACAGAGGTGACCTCCACAGAAACCTCCACCACCACAGCAGACTTATCTACTTCCTTCCCAACCACTGGAGCCTCCTCCACTGTTCCCACCTCCACAGAGATGACCTCAATGTCATCAACCACCACCTCACCAGAGTCCTCCACTGCCATCTCCACCACTGGTGCCTCCTCGAGGTGACCTCCACAACATCTCCCACCACGTCAGGAGACTTATCCACTTCCTTCATGACCACTGGAGCCACCACCAGCACTGTCATCTCCACAGGAGGGACCTCCACAGAAGTTCCCACCACCTCAGGAGACTTATCCACTTCCTTCTCAACCACTAGACCCTCCTCCACTGCTCCCACCTCCCCGGAGGTGAACTCAATGGCATCGACCACCACCTTACCGGAGTCCTCCACTGCTGTCTCCACCACTGGGGCCTCCACCACTGCCCCATCTGCCGAGGTGACCACCACTTTGGTCCCGTCCACATCCGGAGACTCGTCCACTGCCCTCAGCACCATAGAGGTGACCTCCACAACATCTCCCACCACCTCAGGAGAATTATCTACTTCCTTCCCAACAATTGGATCAACCCCCAGCACTGTCATCTCCCCAGCGCTGACCTCCATGGCTTCCACGACCACCATGGGAGAGATATCCACTTCCTTCTGGACCACTGGATCCACTCCCAGCACTGTCACCTCCCCAGAGGTGACCACCACTTTGGTCCCCACCACATCCAGAGACTCCACTGCCCTCAGCTCCACAGAGGTGACCTCCACAACATCTCCCACCACCTCAGGAGACATATCTACTTCCTTCCCAACCACTGGAGCCTCCTCCACTGCTCCCACCTCCCCAGAGATTACTTCCATGGCTTCCACGACCACCACGGGAGACTTACCCACTTCCTACTCCACCACTGGAGCCACCACCAGCACTGTCATCTCCACGGAGGTGACCTCCACAACATCTCCCACCACCTCAGGAGAATTCTCTACTTCCTTCTCCACCCGTGGAGCCTCCTCCACTTCTATCAGCTCCACACAGGTGACCTCAGTGGCATCACCCACCACTTCACCAGAGTCCTCCACCGACATCTCCACCACTGGAGCCTCCACCACTGCCACATCCACGGAGGTGACCACTACTTTGGTCCCCACCATGTCCACAGTCTCCACTGCCCTCAGCACAACAGAGTTGACCTCCACAGAACCTCCCACCACCTCAGGAGATTTATCTACTTCCTTCCCGACTACTGGAGCCTCCTCCACAGCTCCCACCTCCCCAGAGGTGACCACAATATCTCCCACTACCTCAGGAGACCTATCCACTTCCTTCCCAACCAGTGGAGGATCCTCCACTGCTCCCACCTCCACGGAGGCGACCTCAATGGCATCGACCACCACCTCACCAGAGTCCTCCACTGCTCTCTCCACCGCTGGTGCCTCTTCCACTTCCATTTTCACAGAGGTGACCACCACTTTGGTCCCCGCAATGTCCACAGACTCCTCCACTGCTCTCAGCACCACTACAGCCCCTTCCACTGCTCTCAGCTCCACTGAGGTGACCTCCATGGCTTCCGCGACCACCATGGGAGAGATATCCACTTCCTTCTCCACCACTGAAGCCACCCCCAGTACTGCCACATCCACAGAGGTGACCTCCACAGAAACCTCCACCACCACAGCAGACTTATCTACTTCCTTCCCAACCACTGGAGCCTCCTCCACTGTTCCCACCTCCACAGAGATGACCTCAATGTCATCAACCACCACCTCACCAGAGTCCTCCACTGCCATCTCCACCACTGGTGCCTCCTCCACTTCCATTTCCACAGAGGTGACCACCACTTTGGTTCCTACAATGTCCACAGACTCCTCCACTGCCCTCAGCACCACTGAGGTGACCTCCACAACACCTTCCACCACCTCCGGAGACTTATCTACTTCCTCCCCGACCATGGGAGCCACCTCCACTGCTCTGACCTCCACAGAGTTGACCTCCATGGCTTCCACGACCACCACAGGAGACTCATCCACTTCCTTCTCCACCACTGAAGTCACCCCCAGCACTGTTATGTCCACAGGGGTGACCTCCACATCAGCCCCCAGCTCCACAGAACATATCTCCACGGTCTTCTCCACCACTGGAGACACCTCCAGCACTTCCACCTCCATAGATGTGACTTCCACCACCTCAGGAGGTTTATCCACTTCCTTCCCTACCACTGGAGACACCACCGCTACTCCCACCCCCACAGAAGCCCCCACCACCTCAGAAGACCCTTCCACAGTCCTCTCCACGACTGGAATGACCACCAATCCTCTCACCTCAACACAGGTGACCTCAATCGCATCCATGACAACCTCGGGAGACTTATCCTCTTCCTTCTCAACCACTGAAGCCACTTCCACTGCTCCCACCTCCACAGAGGTGACCTCAATGGCATCACTCACCACCTCACCAGAGTCCTCCACTGCCATCTCCACCACCAGAGCCTCCACCACTGCCACAACTGCAGAGGCGACC